CATCGGATGGTCTTATGGAGAGGGAACAACAAGTGCTGGCCACCAAGGCCTTTGCAGCCAGGCCTTGTCCACCAGGCACCACCACCCACAGCACCCCTAGCGATGCCCTGGCCAAGTCACCAGAAGCACTGGGCCACTGCCCCATACAAGCAGAGCACTGAGAAGGGATGTCCAGAGGGCAAAAGGGCACAGGTTTGTCCCAGAAACGTCCAGATCCCATATATATAGAAAGAGACATATAATACATAATAGAAATATATATATATTTAATACATAGAGAGAGAAAGAGTCATATAATCACTATGGTTGGAAAAGACCATGCCTCCTGCTTCCCTGGAGCCCTCCAGGCAAGCAGAGCTTTGCTCCTGGCATCCTGGACCTGCCTCTCATTCCTGCCTAGCACAGCTGATCTGAAGCAGCAACAAATAATTCCTGCAGACCCTGTGAGGAGTAACAGGCAGGTGCTTGGAGAGCCCATCTCTGCCCACAGCCCCCAGGAGGTGCTCGGATAGGAGAGACAGGAGGGGGGAGAAAATTCAAGCCAAGTTCTGAGGGCCGAGGCACTTGGAAAGGGCCTCCACATTCCTCCACCCTCCTCCCAGCCACTGCACACTCCCAGCTGCCTCCTGTGCCATGTCAAAGCCTCCAGACCCCTTGGCAAGCTGGGGCTGGTAAGGAGGAGGACGAACTCTTCCTACCCATGGCATTACAGCAGCCTTTTCATTAGCAGTAAAGGATGTGCTGTGGAGAGGGGCTGCTCTCGGGCATTGCAAATCCTGACTCCAGCCCAAGCCATGGATTATACTGGTGGGAATGGGTTGTGCACTCCCCGCTCCAGCCATACCTCACCTGATGTCCCTGCTGGTGGCCATGCTCCAGCCCAGGAAACAGCCTCATGGTTTCAACTCAGGGCATCTGTGATGCTCGGCTGGCAATGGCACTCAGACTTTACCTCCAAAGGCTTCCTGCCCTCCCAAAACCTTGAGGATTGCCCTGTCTGGAGTCACACAGCTGGGACACGGCCATGAGACCACTGGAGCCTGGCTCTTCTGGTTCTAATGGGAGATGTTGCAATGGAGTTGAGGGGTAGTGACAAACCAGCTCCTCTTTGGAAGACACCTTCAGTCAGAGGAAAAGCCTGTCCACAAACTCACAGCTTTCCAGAGCCTCCCGGAAGAGACCTGTTTAAAGGTGCTTTAAACGATCTTCTGATCTTTAAAGTAAGGCATGAAGGAAACAAGGTGAAATGAACTCCATGACACCACAGGGGACAGAAACCTTTGGGTCAGGAGGAGATTGCTAGAAAGCACCTTCCCAGCTGGGCTTGAACAACAGCTTGGAAATCTATCAGGAGAGTTATAAAAAGTGTTTATCTCGGAAAACCAATATACCTGTGAAGAGGACAAGGAGGCTTGATCTTCTGGGCGTTACATTAACATCACAATCAGATTTCTGTGTATTTTGAGTCTAATCTACACTAGAATTGCTTCAGGTTAGTGATCTCAGCAAACCCAGCATACATGCAATCTGTAGCAGCGAGAGCAGGCTTTATCAGTAAAACCTACACCGATTCAGCCAGCAAAATAAGCTTTATCAGCAAGACACGCTTTTACAGTGGTGTAAACATTAGATTTTTCCAGGGGTTTTAAAGAAATATCACCGAAAACAGACTCCATCTCTAGCCAAAATCTGCCCTGAAGAATTGGCCTAGAGAACTGAAGAGAAAATGTCCTGCACCCTCTGCAGCTCCACTGCCCATTGATGGTT